GTATACATAAAATGTTTAAAATACTTTATTAAGTTTACGTAATAAAAATAGGCAAATGGCTTAAATTGAAAGCAAATCAAAAGTTTGGTACTAAAATTAACAAATTAAAAATTCAAGATTTATTTTATTATAAGACTTAAACTTTGAATTTTTTTTTTACTTTTATAATTGTCCCAAAAATTAAAGTTGAGTGATTACTCTTACACTCTCTTTCTCGGCTTTTAAGTCACGTTATGAATTGATGAGTGAGACGAGTTCAAAACTTTACGTAGGACTAGGTGGATTCTTCATGAGGAATTTGACAAATATATTCATAGTTGGCTATATTACTTTGTATATTTAGAAAATTAATAATCAAAATTACATATCATATTCTTCATGAGAAATCAGACAAATATATTCATAATTGGTTATATTACTCTGTATATTTAGAAAAATAATAATCAAAATTACATATCAAATTCATTCCATATCAAATTCATTCCACTACTCAATAATTACAATAAATAGTAACCAATACTATTTTACAAAAAAACAGAACAACATGATAGAATGCATTTAACTTTGATTTGATAATTTATTATAATCTGTTCACTACAATGGTGTATAAACAAACATCATAATAATTCTTACCAATATCAATTTAAATCATAAGTTACATACCGTATTATATGTACCATATAAATGATTCTTAACCAGCCATATGTTCCAAGCTTAAACTTGACCGTGCTAATTTATTATTAAGCGTTAAAAAGAAGAAGAAAAAAAGGTTGATGGGAAATGATAACATAACCCCCACGTGATATGTGGACTGAAATGCACCGTTAAGCATTCCATCTAATTTAATAACAAGTGTAAAACACATGGCAGGCATAACAGTTTATATGTTCATTTTCAAATTTCAAATTTTTAGAGGGTAAATTGCACATGAAATAAAGTACAGAGGTTAAAGTGCACTTTGTTTTCCAAACAAATGATACAAATATAGAGATATTTTAGTCTTTTTTATTAAATCATTAACGAATCTAATCTAACGGTACACTTCAATCCATAAACTACAAGGAGGTTATGTGGTCATTTCCAAATATTAGAGGTGTAAACCGCACATAACTCAGACTACAAGAAATAAAGGAAAGTTTGCCCTTAATTTTATAATTTTGAAACTTATTATAGAATATCTATCAAACAACAAAGCTATGTTCAATATAAAATTTTGAAAAAAAAAAAGAAAATTTTCAATTACATAATTTTTCACAATTTTCTATATTGAAATGATGAAATTTCACAATTTATGCACCCACAAAAAAAAAAAAATTGAATGAAATTTTTTATTTTTACAGACACAAAAATAGATAAATATTATTTTCAAAATTCTCAATTTCAAAAATATTCATAGATTCTATTTAAAAATTGTGAAATTTCATTTTGTCTCGTTTGGCCCGATTCTGCGGTTCGAGGCTCCTTGACGGCACGATGTTTATCGGTTGAACGAGGCTAGATGGAACCGTCTTAACAACTTTCTATTCAGCTTTGATCCGCAGGGCATCGTCTTCCACCTTACAATATTCTTCGACTTTTTTCATTAACGCCCAAAATGTTTTGGGAGGCCGTCTAGTCAATGAATTGCGTAGAGGACTATCATGATGTAATCCCATCTTAAAGGCGGTAATGGCTATGGAGTCATTGCAGGCATCATCCACTAGGTTGAAACATTTCCAATATCGCGCATAATACTCATGGAGAGTTTCTTCTGGTTTAATTTGCATTGCCCAGAGAGAGTCGGCTTGCTTTGGCTAAACTTTATTGGTAATGAATCCTGCCCTGAAGGATTTTTAGAGTTGGTGAAAACTTTTTATTGGCGCCGACTCCAATTTATAGTACCATTTGATGGCCAACGGTCCCAAGCTACTTGGAAACATTCGGCACATGAGGGCTTCTTCATCAGCATGCAACGTCATCGTTTGTTTATAATGACGAATATGGTCAGTGGGATCCAATTTTCTGTCATACAAGGTGAACGGTGGTGCTTTGAACTTTTCAGGCAGCACAGCCCTTGCGATGCGTCGTACGAAAGGGTCATGCCTGTCTTTCTCATCCGAATCATCACTTTCTTTCCCTCGTCTGTGCCTTACATATGGACTCCCTTCGAATGAGCTAGATAAATCGACTCATCCCTTCTTTCTAGGCTCCTGGGATGGTGAGTCAGAGTCGCTGCAATTACCGTGTTTTCGAAGTCGACGTTGTCGATCGTCCTTCTTTCTGGGGGATCGACGCCGGTCAAGGCATGCGGCCTGTTGGGATTTGGCTACCTCCAAGGCCAATTCTTTACGTAAACGCTCGTTACCAGCCACCATATCTTCAAGGCATTTCTCATTTCGTTTCGGTTGATCCATGATCGTTTGTATAGTCTCCTGCATTGAGGTTGAGGGTGAGGTTTGAGCTACTGAGTTGAAATTCAGGGCCCGTCTTGCGGCGATATTCTCTGGTCCAAGCATGTTTCTTGGAGTAACATCATCTCTTGGTGTAACATTGTCAACAACGAGCGAAGGATCATCTGTTATGCTTGCCATGAACGTACTTGAGTATTCCCACAGATGGCACCAATTGTAGAGAGGTGGTTTGGAAATACTCCTGAATTCAGTCTGACGTCCCTGATCATTTGATCATTACCTGAAAAAGGGATGAACACTCCGGTCGGAAATGCCGGAATTAATTGTACGGGGAGGAAATAATTCTCCTCGTATAATCCTGTTGACCAAGTCCACGCTTCTCCGTACGACGTCGCTTTGTCACCTGAAAACACAAACGTGAGCTAGCCGGCGGGTGTGTGCCGGAAACCTCTCCGATGCCTAAGTCAGAAAACTTGACAAATAGACAAAGCTCTAAGTTCTCAGAAAGATTGTGTTCAATTACCTCCTCCAAGGTGATGCTTGTGAGCCTTTATAAGTTTCCGTGGCACAATCCTAGTAGGACTTGTACTTCTCCATGCAGAGTCCTCCTAGGATTCATTCTCCTAAGGATAATGCTTATCCTTTTACACCCTCCCCCACTGCTTAAACCAAGTGGGATGGTTTTCTTTATGGCCGAACTTCCATTTGACCGAAGTAAAATTGGCTATACCGAGCCACAGAGGGCCGAACTATCCTTAGCTCGGTCTTCTCCTCTAACTCCTTACTTCGGCTGCCCTGTTCAACCTTGATGTGCTTAGATCAAACTTCCAAGTAATAAGTTCTGACCGACCTAACCATTGTAAGTCACGACCGGACTAATTCCGAAACCGGCCTTCACAGAACACACAGCGACCGGACTAACTCTGAGACCGGCCTAACTCCGAGCCGCCTCCGGACCGGAGTAGTTTTACTCTTCCTTGGGCCGACGTAACTATCTCTGCTTGAGCCGGAGTAATCACACCTCCTTAGGCCGGAGTAACTTTGCCGGAGTAACCTTGATCTTCCTGGGCCGGAGTATCCTTTACGGCCTTTTTTACTCAGTCCTTCGCGTTTTGGGCCTCAAAGCCCAACTCGCAGCTCGGCCCAATTTTTCCCAAAAATTACCTTCATATATCATTACCAAAACAAACAAAAAAAAGTGTTTGGATAAAACAAAAAAGATAAAAATTTATTTCTATTGCATTACAATTGAACAAAATTTAGATAACAAATACATATATATATATATATATATATATATATAACAAATAACTATTTTTACATAAAATAGTTGAATTTCAATGCTATAATAACTAAGGTAACAAGATTTCAATGCTATAAAATAGTT